TTTTACAGGATGGGGTTGCTAGCCTCATGCCCAACCTTTCCTCTTCACCAGCCTTGTTTCTGGCTTACCGAGGTAAAGGAGTGCGTCGGTGGCCGGGGATCGAACCCCGGACGTCATGCGTCTAGTTGTCGGTATTGACGTAAACTGTATTCTATCAGTCAAGTTTGAGTTTGTTTCATGTTATTTTGAAATCTGTGAGTGGTACATAGCATTCTCTTCTTCTTCTTTACTTCGGCTATCTCCTACGGGAGGATGAGCCGGCTTCATGAACATCTCGAATCATCGTTGCCCAGGCGCGGCGATCTGCGGGAACGCCGTAGCATGGTGAGAGTCGTTTGTAAGAGAGTTCATGAAGTTTCATGGGAATTTGGTACGAGTGATGTCCCCAGAATCGCTCGGCCTTTTCTTTGAGAGTGCAGCTCCAGCCTTTACACAACCAAGTGTGACCTACAAGGCAGTAGGAGTGGGGTAGGGAGTCCACTATCCATTGGCAGCCGGTGACCGGAGTTCGGTTCATACGCCTTTTTGAATGGGGCCAGACATCCAGGACATCCAACAAGCCCTTTGTCCATACGTCTGCCGGTAAGCTCCAGTGAGCTTCATACGCCAGTCGTTGGAGGTTTGGAATCAGGGTTTAGCCATCACCCCTAGACTGTCATCCAATGGACAGTCAACCCGGTGAAGAGCGCCGGGCATCCGCTTCCGCCCTCTCACTTTGGTGAGAAACACCTCCGCCACGTGAAGGCAGTGAGTAGGACTTCCTCAGGAGAGGCTATGTAAGACGCCCGGTCATATGGGAGCGTTTCAAGAGGTGTGCGGAGGGGTGGCCAACCCGCAGCGCAAGGCACCCACCCCCGACCATCCTGACGCTTTGGAGGCTGGTTATCAACAATTAAAAACACAGTTTAGGCAAATACGTATTATACGGTAATTCTTTATCAGGCTTTCTATGTTATAATTGTTCAGCATAGGCATTTTATGCCATGGTGGTTTATGGAATTGAAGTTTAAACATGTAAAGCAGTGGGCCATAATAATAATAATAATAAAACCAAGCAAGAACTGTACAATGGTTCATCTAGTGAATATGGAGCACGAAATCAATAAAAATTCAGCTTTTACCAACCAGTCTAAGGCAACATCTTTTGTTTACGTTGATATTGTATTCCTCGTTGATTGATTATGCTGGACCCGAAGTGCTCGGTCTCAATCAATGTGCCAGTTTCTAAGTACTGACGCTTCAACAAAATGCGCATCCTGAATTCCACTGATAGTTTTACCATTAACCAAGATAAGGTAGAATCTTTTTTTCTCTAGGTGTATGGACTATCCAACTGCTAAGCATAGACAGAGCAACTGCTATCAAAGTTTTTCAACCCAATATATATGTTCAGAAAAAATTGTCTAGTCCTTTTCCCCTTCCATTACCCTCAACTTTAATTCACCGGATACAACTTGAATAGTTAGCATTAGACGGTTGAAGGCAATCGGCAGGAAGCCTTGCTCGACCTAGGTTTCGAGCTAGTTGGCACTCATCAGAAAGGCGTACCTGCAACCACCTTGAAGGAACTCATGTCCCTTCTGAGATTCAAACCCGCGTCATCCAGTGCTAGCTGCAGTCAGCGACCTTACCACTGAGCTATTCAGGCTCGCTATTGACCTCCTGTAGGACTGTAGTGGATACTTTGATCGGACACTAGTAACTAGTGTGATGTGTCCAACCTTGCTGACGAGTGCCAACCAGCACGAAACCTAGGTCAAGCAAGGCTTCCTGCCGATTGCCTCCAAATCATCTAATACCAAAAATTCACAGTGCACCGTGATAGCGAGCCAACTAGCATGGTGACCACATTGCAAGCTTAACTGATAGAATTCAGTCTGTACAGAGGATAGGACTAGATACATTACACTAGTTACTGACTAGTGTTCGATCAAAAATACAACTTGCATAATTTATTTTCCTAGTCACATCAGTTAGTTGTGAATATTGTTATTATCATTACTATTATTATTATGATTACATATTCTATTCTTAGTTCCACAATTTATTATAAAAAACCAAATACTATGTTATGTAATCATGTACTCCTACACACACACACACACGCACATACATACCTACACAATCTACCAACACATCTACATCAAGAGACTAGCAACACCACCTGGGTATTTATTAATACAAGCATTTGCATGATTTTAGGCTTTAGTGTTTTATTTTTCAATAAATAGTTTTACTATTTTTGTCACTGTAACAAACACATTTATTTGAATTACTTCATTGCGCTTAATTGACATTTCACAATGTAATAGAATTGATGTGAATCAATGTAATTCTCACTAATCATCATGTATATAAATCATAGAAACACCGGGGGAAAAAATCACATTATATTACCTGATTTTTAAGACTTTATACACTAAAGTGGTATGACAACTCTTAATTTACTCTTTACAATCGAGGTGCATGTATTAATAAGCCATACAGCGAAGTTAAAGTACCCATAGACAAAGTCAAGGTCTCTCAAGAGTTGACCTTCAAGAACCAATCAGATACAGGCGATGCTAAGAAAGGTCATTTGGAGAAGGTAGACACAGTATTCGACTTATTCCCCATGTAATTTTTTTTGTAAATCTATACTGTTAGGTGGGTGTTATGACTTTTTAGAATAAGGTTTAAGGTCTAGAGTTAAGTTTAGGAGTAGGGTTAGAAATATCAATACATTTCCTCCAAGTACCATGACCTACAGTCACCTGGATGAATGTATCTATCGCGCATAGCATGATTTCTCTATAGATCATATGTGCATTGACTGGGAGACATTGTTACAACACATAAGCGACAACAATACAGTGTAATATCAAGTTTGCAATATTTTTGAGTGCATTTTTCAACGATTATGCGACAATTTTGCATCTGAATTCTGATTGGTTATTCAAGGCCACTGCGGCTTTGGATAGTTCAACTTTGCCGGCCATACTGTTAGTTACGCGTGTCATATTTTTCATATAACAGTCTATGAACCATACTTCTTATATGAAAGCTGGTGATATTATCTAGATGGCCAGTCTGAAAGTAAGTGGGAGAGGAATCGAACCTGGGACAGATTAACTGAAAGCTGAATAGTTAGAGACAAACAAAAAAATGAGCCGCAGACTTAGTATCATGTTTAATTTCTCTCAACAAAAATGGATTCTGCTAACAGATTGCTTACATTACTTTGAGACATTAGGAAATAATATGAATGTTCACTTTTCAACAGTGTTTAAAAGTATAATAGGAGAATTTAACTGAGTGTTCAGAACAAGTTGAAGTCTAACAACGGTTTAACACGGAAGTGACAATATAAGTAAAAATTGTGCTTACTGAATGCCTTCCCATGAAGACTTTATATCCTGTTTCAGATTCAATAATGTGAAATATTCCCATATCATGAATTAAAAGTCAATCTGAACGAAGAATATTTTTTTTCAATAATTTCTCTTCAGGTTCTTACAATTATAAAATAACATTTCAACTGTCTTGGTTCAAGAGCGATTAGGCAGGTTCGTCTACGGGTTCGAGAACATTTACCAGTTTGGTTCAGCAAGGGGGAAATTAAGTGCATAAAAAGCTCGATCCTGTCACACTTGGTCGATACTGGATATCGCATTGATGTCAACACAGCTTTCAGGGTTATATACCGAATTCCTAAGTCGTTATCACGTACAGTTCGCTTACGTTTCCTACATATAGCTGAAGCTGTGGCAATAAGATCGAATAAACCGGAACTTTGTATCCAAAAAGAACACGTCCAGACGCTGTTCCTACAGTGGCCAAACTTGGATTGATGATTCTTCTTCTCACCAAGAGTGCTTCTTCCCCTTAACCCTCTTGGTTTTTTTCCTTTGCTTATTATTACAATTATTATTATTATTCGTCATAATTTATGCCCTTCATGCAAACATTCTCTCAATACTATCGAATTTTCCATTTATACTATCCGGACTTATTATTAGTGATATTATCTCTTTTCTCAATATATGCCTCCACCTGTTTCATTTCACACATTCGTTACTTCATTATGAACCTCTCATTGCAGTCTTACTATCTCCTGTTTAATACAAACCACTTTGTACTAGCCACTCACCTGACACCTTTTATAACCTTGAACTGACTTGTCAATTTTCCTACCCCACACTCTACAAATCTATTATGATTAATCACCACCATTGTCTCCCGTTTTACAATATTTTGTAATCGATTTCAGCCTAGCACGTTTGTCACACAAATACGACTATTTATTTTGACACCCCATAACTAATCTGTCATTCTAAGTTAAAAAATGTATCCGCCGCATAACTGGCCATTATTGTAACGACAGTAAATATTATAATTTATAATTGTTTCAGATTCCTTTATTAAAATAACTTCGTTTACTAACATACTTGTCACAGCATGGAATGGTACCTCATCACATCAAAACTGTATATTACCCCATTTAGTTATTCGACCATTTATTAGTGGATACCATTTAATAGTGAGAATGATACCCAATGCCAATTCACGGAAGGCATAATAAAAATTTCAGATACATCATAGTGATGATACATTATAATAGAGAGAGGAAAACGAAGAAGACACTGGACAGTTCAGTGGTGTGACATCAGTAAATTCGACACCGGATGACACGGGTTCAAGTCTCCGAGGTGACTGCAAACACGCCTTGCTGACAAACACCAATAAGCACAATGCCTAGATATCCAGGTGGTTTTATATTGATTACTTCCAACCAACCAAACATCAATTCGCAGTGCACTATAATGACGAGTCGCCTAGATTATCGACTTAACTGATAACGTTTACAGTCGGAAGCAAGCAACACTATGGTCGGTAATTCAGCCTATAAACACTTTGTTAAATTTATACATTTCTAATCATAAGTATAATAATGTTAATAGAATTATGAATGTTTAACACTAAAAAGAAGACAACTGTCTGTCTAAGCAAAAATCACGTACCCCAATATGTCTCAGTAATTTTGGATGAATGGTTAATAGCTAGTGACATCCAATCGTTGCAAATATCACTCTCACAATTGCGTCTGTCAACAATAAACTCCACGGCCTTCTTTAATAAATTCATATTTTTGAATGAACAGTATTTCAAAACTTCCATTGCGAAATCCTTATTAGTATTATTACTCATATTGTTATTACCTGATTTAGGCTGTTTAATCGGACAGTCTAACGGTACAAGAAAAGAAAGCAGTATATATGTATACATGAAAGCATAGAAATATAATTACATAATAAAAATATGGAACCATCAAAGGAATCTTTGGCACCCACCCACTTGAAGGTTGAACAAAAACCGACTTCGGTTAGAGCACCACTGAAAACCGGGAAGTGCTGGACAGCTGTTTCTCCCTAGTTTGCACCAGTAACACCATTGGGGATCGAACCCAGGAGCTTCAAGTCACAAGATGAGTTCGTATACCATTAAGGCACTACTGGGACGCGATTCAACAGCCCATCAATATTAACTTCGACGAATTCATATATATATATATATAAATATATATATATATATATATATATATATATATATATATAGTACGACCATCAACCAATATCACCGAGTATTTTTCCTCATACTAGATCGTCTTGTTACACGAAGGTACTGGGTTCCATCCCCAGTGTGGTCGTGGGTGAGTATTGCCGAAGAATCCCAAACTAGGACGAAACAGCTGTCCAGTACTCCCAGCTTTTCCAACGGCTCTCTAACCAATGTCAGTTCACGATGAAATCATGAGACCAATAAGATCCCTGTAAACCAACAATTGAATAGTTAGTATTTTATTTAATTGGCAGTTAACCAATCATTAGTTTACAATGTATTTTTCACTACACCTTAATTTCATCCCTGCATTAAAAAAGACGAATTTATTTAGTTGATAAATAGTTTTAATGTATTATAATCTATTTAGCTAACTGTATTCGATTATTTGCCCCCATAAACGACATGGTACGGTCAAGAGTGATTGGTCTTCCTCCCGAAATGTCTCTCTCATGTGACCACGTGTTCAAAGCCTCTACCTTCACGCGGCGGATTTGTTGTTCACAAGAGTGAAAGGGCAAATGTGAATGTCTGGTGCTCACAACCGGACTGGTGGACATAGAAGTCTACCTAGAGACAGGCTCGAGAACCCCGATTCGAAACAGATGATGTACAAGGGGTTCTAGAATCCGAAAAGAACATCGAATGGCAGGTGAACCTGTTTTTGGTCACTAGAAACTATGGGAATGTAGCTCCTGACGCTAGATAACTGCTTTGTGGATCAGACTTCAAGTCAAAGACTCAGGACATAGTTTCCTAAGACAAACATCTGCTTCAGTCAGGGTGTCCAGGCCTGTATCTCAGCCATCGGATAAACTAAGAGGTTTTGTATGCCACATCTCTTAGTGCCTACAATACACCAAGTTTGTGTTTTAACAAATAAATAAATAAAAGATTATTTACAATTTTTAAAGAGATCACTATAATTTCATATCTGGGTATTTTACAGGAGGAGCTGTTATATCGTATGTCCTCGTTATTTGATTACGCAACCAGAATTACTCTACTCAATTTACTCTAAACAGTTGATTATCAATTGTCATGTAAATAATAATAATTAATGTAAATAATAAATTCCATAAATGAGCAAAGCAACATACAGCTACTACTTATTACGTAGTCAGTATACATTAGGCAAATGTTTAAAATAACTTCTTTCTACTATTTTTCTTCCCTCTTTGTGTCCTGAGTGAAACATAAAGGGGGGGGGGTTCGAGTTTTTCAAGTTTCGATAGTGGTATTGTTATTTTTACGCAGAAAGGTTTCTAGTCTCACTTCTAACCTTTTCTCTTTTCCGAGCTTAGTATCAGGCGGTAAACTGGGTAAGATTTAGGCGTGCATCGGCTGTAATTCGTACCCGAACCTCCTGTGTGGTTCACGAATACTCTACTACCCACTGAACTGTCGATGCAACTTTATTAATGTAAACTAAATCATTACTTAATCAAACACAAAGTAGACAAACAAAAAAAGGGGAAAAAAGAGAAAAAGCCAGTGAAAAAAAAGATTGACGTACTTTTCAGACAACTAAAAAGAAATTCATCCAATTTAGCAACAAACAGATCACAAGAACAGTAAATAACTGGGATGAATGAAAGTAATTCGTCTCTGGAAAAAAAATAAAGAAGCAAAATGACCATAGAAGAAACAATCGTTAAATTTGAGAAAAAAAATATGTTTACAATATGGACTGGAGAAGTTTCTGTCCCCCTGACAGTGAGAAATTACAAATATTAAAAACCGATAAAAGCCAGGGAGTACCGCTCTTAGACTCCTTACCAGTACGCAAAGATAACACCATCGAGGAACGAATTCAGGACGTTCAGAGTAGGCAACGAACTCGTAGACGATTTGGTCATTTGTACGCAGTCGTATGACTTACAAATTCTAAATTATGTTAGTTCGTGGTCTAACATGAAACCAAGCGAATCCATGAGAAATAACGCTTGGGAATTAAGTTACTCTCATTAGTCACTGACTAGAGGATGAACTTTCTGGAGTTGTCATTGGAGTTTGTGACTAGCGAGGTGACAGCAATGCAATACCCCCCCCCCCCCCCCAACTGATAGGAGTTAGAATTCATGGATCACCGGATTTCATCTTAGTGCCTAAATGGTCAAAGAGATTGCCTTGTAACTTAACGGTAGTAGATTTGATCGCCGGTGGTGGGATAATGAATGCAGACGAAGAGTCCTAAACTCAAAACAACGAAACAGCTGTCCACTACTCTCTCTCTCTGCCTCTGGTTTTTAATCGTTCTCTCTGATTTGAATTCAGTTAAATCCCTGACTAACTAACACTTGAAAATTGATGCAATTTTCTCAGCATTTCAGGTCAGGCAGCATGATTTTCATCAATTCTTAATGAACAGTCACTACATAGATATGAATGTATGTGTATAAATTAACACAAGTTAGAGTATTCACCAGCAGTTAGCATATAGATAGAATGATCATATGGTTTTAATCCTTGACTGGTGAACTTCAACGAAAAATATGAACCAGGTGAATAAAATTATGGTTAGATATGTAGTCTAGGGTCTATAGTATAAGTACAGTATACACCAACATTGGACAGTGTCATAACTAAGACAGTGACAGTAGCATTTAATCAGTCTACTAAAGAATATAAATGTAAAACAACTAACAGTTATATAAACCGTATTATATTTATTAATTCATAAACTTGAATCAATACTGAAATACAGACCAGGAAATGAATTACTACGAAGGTGACATATTCAGGAAAAACACGATCTCAGGTGAAAAAAAAGAGAAGACAGATGTCATGGACATACCTAACCAACAACACACACACCAATCGCCAGCAACTAGAGAAATCTAAACGAAGGTGGCACGGATGAGTATGTCATACCCAGAGAGGATCAGAAAAGCACCACAGACCTTCATTCATCTGAAATCAGTGTGACAACCTACCTCACTATGCATAAGGAACAAGATTTGAACTTTCAACACTAATGTCAAGTCAGTAAGTGATTCTACATGGTCCGAGGACTCACTGGATGCGTCACGAAAAGCGTTTACAACAGACTAGTGTAGACTTTCGTCAACACCTGCCTTTGCTAGCTTGACAACAAGGAACTCTAGCAGGCAAGGAACCCACCACGAACCTATCACCCAACCAGTATGCAGAAGGAAATGATGATGCGTTGGACATACACTGAGGAAACGGTTGAATGACATCATGCGTCAGGCACAGCCTTGAGTAGAACCCTGATGGGTAGAAGACGAGTAGGGGTCCGGGGGTGATGTGGAGGAGATCGTGTGAACGGGAAATGAAAATTTATGGGTGATAGTGAAGCCAACTAAAGAAAACAATAGAGAACAGTGTGAAATGGCGATGTGCTCTTGGAGCCCTAAGTTCCACTGTGGTGAGAGCTGGCTGCTAGCCAAATTGGTAGGCAGTAATTTACGTCAATGTTTACGTCCCCAATATTGGTCGTGAGAAAAATAAGAACAAAGACTGATTCAACAACCAACCACAGCAGACTTTGCGTAGGCGGATACAATTGCAGATAGATAATCTGAACTTCAATAAACGGCCATAAAGAGATGAAAGATTAACGTTCAACGAGAAACCACCAATCAGAAGACTGTGTTTGTTTGCTTACAATAATCTAAAATAATGTACATGAAAATCTATAAATATGTGTTGATTTCCTAAATAAACGATCTGTTGCCTGGCCCTTGTCTTCTGTTGTTACATTTGGTGTCGCTGCCTACCGACAAATGGAAAGCCTATGCCCTGCAGTTTTTGATGGAGACATATGGATCTTCGGGCAGGACTTCAAGGCTTCTACGCAGTTGAGTGGCGTTCCAGATCTGTCAGAGATGAGGCTGTTACTCGGGACGCTTCTAGGAGGTCGGGAGAAAACAGCATATGAAAGAGTGAGGCGAAATACAGACGAATGTGCGACAGGGTCAAGCAAACAGTTTCCAAAGTGGGAAGGACCACATATGGTCACGTTGAGATGGGGTTACGCAGACACAATAGCAATGGTAAACAAAGAGAAACAGGTGAACATCAGCGAGCGCCGAGATTCTAGACAGCAAGACAAACGAACAAAGCCCCTAGAACCAAGAAGACCGAACCAACTTCAGTCGCAAGTCTTTGACGGGGGGGGGGTGACGAGTGTGGTGAGAGCTGGCTGCTTACCAAATTGGTAGACAGTAATTTACGTCAATAAACGGGAATATCTAAAATTCAATTAAATAATTTTCTAACATACTTCACAGGTTTTATGGCTTCATCATCCAACAGATCAGCATCACCAGCATTAGTATGACTGTTATTATTGTGATCCACCGAGGAATACTTGTTCAACCATAGGATTGTTGAACAGACTATGTTGAAGATTGAATCTATTCCTAGGGAATATGATTGTGTCTGTGATATTGTATTGGAATCACAAGAATTTACTGTGATGTTTTTATCAGGAAGAGAAGGCACAGCAGTAGAATATTTCATTATTGAATAGCATAAACGACAGGTTAGCACTGAGAAATGTATAACTTTTCCGTTAAGAATTTCTGACAGATTAGTTGACTTTGTTGTGTATTCGTGTAGTTTAGCTATCATTGCAAATCCATTATCTTTTATTCTGTTGAGTGTTTTCATAATTTGTACATCATTATGAAGGGCTGAAATGCAAAGAATGAAATGAAAAAATACATACAATTCTTAAGCTTGATTACAAACTGACTTCACTTAGAGAGGAGCATTGAAAACCAGGGGGGAGGGGGAACTGGACAGCTGCTTTGTTTGTATTTGGGACTCCTATGAAGTATTATTCACCCATGACCTCACCACTAGGGATCGAACCCAGGATGAGCTTGTTGATCATTCCAACCACTGGATTAGAATCTAATAGCTCATCAATTCCGAACCACCGCTCTCCAGTACACTTCAGTGGCTTTCGCTGGTTCTCTGAATGAAATCAATCAAATCTATGTAAATCAACGCTTGAAAATATGATTTTTTTTTTAAATGAAAAGTAAAAATCAAGATTCAATGGGATGAAATATCAAGATGTGAACACTGATCATTTTTTGGAGTCTGGCAAAGTTGGTGATACAGAAAATAGTTAAGAGTTTGTGTGAAGACTTGTCTTTTACTTTAATAAAATCCGGATTTTCAACTCAAATGTGAAGTCAGTGCTACTAACTATACGGATCAGAGACTTGCACTGCGCGTCATAAAGAGCATCTCAAACAAACTACAAACCTTCATTAACAGTTGTCTTCGCTCAATACTCAAGATCAGATGGCCGGTCAGAAAAGATCACCGACAGAGATCTCTGACAATGAGCGAACCAAGCAGGAACCGATTGTGAAACAAATAGGCAGGAAGAAATGGAGATGGATTGGCTGGCCATACTCTGAGGAAACAATCCAGTGACATCACTAGACAAGCCATTGCTCGAGTGGAACTGGGATGGGAAGAGGCGAGTTGGTCGTCAGTGTGAGGGTGACTTGGAGGAGGTCATGTGAAGAGGAGATGAAAACATGTGGACAGACTTGGAGCCAGGTGAAGACTCTAGCAAAGGATGCAACGCAATGGAGACGCACGGCTGAAGCCCTATGTTCCTCTAGGAATTAAAGGATACAATAATAATAATAATAATTAATCAGTGAATTTTCAATGAGTAAACAGGGTAAAGACACGAGTTATTCAAATCGACTTCATAAACTCCAACTCAGAAGACAAAGTGATAATATACTCGAATCGAGTACCTAACCTAATGAACCACAGTTCCACCTGATATACCAATAAATCAGCATACAAAGTTCCGTCTTGCTAAGAAAAAAATAAACCTGCAAACAATTAACATATCCCTATCCGGCATTAAGAATTCTGACGGTAAGATGCAAATGGAAGAAAGCTATGGACCTAGATTTCGTACCTATTCATATTCATCGCCAAGAAGTATCTGCAGCCACGAATTAGGTGATATCCTCAATGTAAAGGTAGAATTTGGGCAGTGTAATAGAATGTCATTCCATGCAGAGATTCTAACCCACATCATCCAGTGGTTGATTTATTCGGAGATGTTACCACAGACCGATTCACATCCACCATGGGATAGTAAGTTTCACATCTCAATAACCAGATTAGAAACTTGACTGACAGAATTCAGTCAACATTTCTAAAGACTGGAGATACAGAATTAATCACACTACATGGATCAATCAGAGACAAAGCAGAAAACCATTCAACATTAGACTAAAATCACCAATATACTTAGTATTACACACCGTAGGTAGGTCAAGATTTTTGATTCACACTGATCTAATAATAAAAGGCATCCTTCATAACCTTTGCACAACTTGTCATTTGGGTTGAAAAAGAAATATTTTAACAATTTTAATTAACGTATCCAAAAATGAATTCATAATTCCATGAATAATTACCTTTAATTAAATTTTCTTCATTAATGCTGAGAAAGATCCTATTCAACAAGGATATACATGACTGCCAGTTCGGTAGCTGTAGTATATAAAACAGAGAGGGAAAGAGAAAGAATAAGAACAAAACACCACACGCAATTACAATTATCTAATTTGTAAAGGAACTTTGTTGAAAATTAT